TCATCCTCTTTGTCGGAGATGGTGTACTCTCATCGCAATTCGATCCAGTCCTGCATCGGTCCCCGTTTGGCCACCCGAACCCTTAATGGTAGAGATCCTCTTCTTTTTTGGTCGTAGGCCGCTGTAATCACTAATAGTATTTAACACTACACAGCACTTTTTGCTTCCCTTCATGGTAGTATAAAAATACTAACATGAGCTAGCCATTCGCAAATTGCTTGCCAAGTTGCAAATCCCACTATAATTCCAATTTTATGTGGAATGCATGGCGGATCCGCTGCCGAAAACTTGTTGATTCCCCCTTTCACTCTTCACAATGACTGTCAAATGTTTGCCAATTCCCATTTGAAAATGCCTTATCGCAGAGGAAATCGTCGATAATTTCAGTTCTCGTTGTGGGCGGACGCAGTGATTTTTGTGTACAGTGTCGACAATCAAGAAAGCTTCGAGCGAATTCGACATTTCTACAGTCACATGAACAAGTTCCGAAACGTGGCCGACATGCCGGTGTTGTTAGTGGGAACAAAGGTCTGAATTGTTGCTACAATTTGAAATCCCGTCTTTAGCACCAGCCAGCCCATAATTGCCACTAGAAGCTAATCTTAATCGAATCAATAATCAATCAATCAATTTATGAACTAATCAGGACCGTGTAGTCGCCACTAATTAGGCAGGTGTCGTATCCTAGCGTCATGACAACTAAGGATCACGTAGCTAATAGTTAATTAGAGAATTGTTTCAGGATACCCTCTCAGAAAAGAATCCACGAGTGATTAGTGAAGAAGAGGGCAAGCAGATGGCGAATCATCTGAAACGTTGCGCTTACTATGAGACATGCGCTACGTATGGATTGAACGTTGAACGGGTGTTTAAAGATGGTGAGTTTTTCGGGATGTTAGATTTTTTCGGCCACTTTCTATCGTTGAATAGACTGAGCTTTCTGTTAATGCAATTTTTCTACCGAGTTGATTGCCCCTTTTGGAACGACTTGTGTTGAAAGACAATCCCCGTGCTCAAGAAGTTACTAGGCGTTCTTCGTTGTACAAGTAATCTGGTCCTCATCCTCTGAGAACATCGCTTTTTCGCCGCTTCTCAATAAGGAAGGCGCTGTAGCCCTCATGAATATAAGTTCTGACGATTCTCCAGTTGCCTCGCCCACCGAAACTGAAAAGCTGTTTTCGAAGATCGCAAGTTCAGTTTTTACGCCGCGTTCTTCGCTTTTTTCCACTATCAGATGGCATTACCACTGGATGCCGAAGAGACGATTAGTGAGCCAAAGAAGGCAGGGCCTTGCTGGCAACGTCGAGGAGGTCTGGACAACTCGTCCAGAAAGGCTACTTGTTCTCAATTCAGGGTGTTCACCATGATTTTTTTTGCTTAACCCCCCCCCTGCCTCCCTTGGCGTGTCATTTAGCGGCTATAGGTTGATCGCCTCTGTCCAGAATATACAATTGCGGGTCAAAGATGCCTATAATAGAAAAGGCGGTGTCGAACTAGCAGAAAATTATTCATAAGATTTCTAGGTGATCTAAATGACTCATAGCTCAACACTGTCATCATCACCTTACTTTTTCCTACTTTTCCACCTGACTGTAGCTCCACCCATTCACTTTGTCGTCTCAACGCTGGATATCCCAGTAGTTGAGAAGGTTTACGAAGGCAGTTCCTTTGTTTTTGAAATGTTGTTGTTGTGGGGGTGTTTTGATGGCCAACAGAATTTATTTGATTCTCTGTTAGCATATTTTGACGTTTCTCACAACGAATATATTAGTGCTCTAATTGATGCGACGTATTCCGGCATAAACAGGTTCCGCAATTTAGCTCTTATAACAGCGGTGGGAAGGCCATTTTTATGAAGTTCTCAGTGAGGAACTGCCACGCTCATCTCTTTCAGTCCACTCATTTCCAATGTTTTACTCAAATGTTCTGCTCTGCGGAAATTGCAGTTTCCTTCTGCTCTGATAGTGGTTTGCTTTGATGAGTCTTAGTTGTTTTTTTCCTGGAACTTTTTATAGGCAGGATTTCAGTGGGCGTAGGTGGTGTAGTGGCAGGTATCGCCAATTACTACGCCCACGGTCCTGGTCTCATCACGGTCAGCGTCCACAGTCTGAGTCCAGTTCGAGGCAATCAAGCCCTTTCCTCTTCTGAGATCGGCTGGTTGGTTCTTGACCCTGACATATAAATCGGCTGACTCCCGGAACGGCGCAGTTCGGCGACAGTGGAGAAAGGGGGGGGGGGTGGGGGGGCATTTTGCTCTCTCACTGCTTCCCATTGTCGTGTGCATTGCTTTCGAGTGTTGACAGGTTCTGCCATGGTTGCTGGACGAGCTTGTTCCAGCTTAATGAGAGTTCACAGGTTCCACCAGAGTGAGACTTGTAAACCGAAACTAGTCAAGCAGCGAAAGTGTGAAATGCCCACGCGCCCAAATGTCACCTAACTGCCCCCCCCCCTCCATCCGAAACTCATGGCATGGACCAAATCGCTCTCAAAATAGCATCACGATTCTGAATGGGAGAAAAGCCTCCCAGAAAAGAAGTGGGCGTGAGGAATCTATATTCTTTGTCCTTTCATCGTTTCATTTGATTGCAACAAGGTTCGTCGTGCTGTTTTATCGCTCAAGCTTTGACGCAGATATCGTCAAACTGCTTTGAGGACGAACGAGGAGCGAACTTGATGTAGAGCTTCCTTGTTCCAGCTCTATTTTCCTTAGGTGATTGGATTTTTTCCTCATTCGGTCGAAGGGCTTCAGGAGATTTGGTCTTGTTTCTCACTAATCGCCTCTTATTACTGAGTTTAGTGTCCGTCATTAAGACTATAGAAATTGAAGTTTCGCCGTTTATCAATCCCTTTGTGGGATGCGGCACGCATTCTACTTCCATTCAGAATCGTAGTGGCTTATTGAATGCGATGTGGCCTATACAGACTTGCGGGGCCAGCCGATGTACAAGTCAGTGTTCTTATCCTCCCAGACGAATCTGGTACAGTTTTCAGTTCCCGGAGCTTAGAAGGCTTGGTTGGTCTGGGCGTGAGCCGATTTAGGACTTGACCCCCGGACCGTGCGCGTGGTAAGCGTGCCATTGCCGCTACGCCACCTCCCTTCTCATTACTTAGTATTTCTCTAAGAATTATATTACTGTTAGAGTTATTACTATTTGGTGCCCGTCATTAGGACCCCATTTCACCCTATTTAATAGGAAATAAAGCGGTTTTACTACTGCGTTACTAATTGTCTTCAAGGTGAGACCGGTTTTTGTGGAATCCTTGTTAATTAAAGGTTTGCTGTTTCATAAATGTCGAACCGGAACGAATTTTCCGCGCTGTTGGCTAGTCTGGGCGACAAATCTGCCGGGTGTGTGTGAGTCATTATGTGTGGGAAATTTGTTAATGCGTAGAATGAGTGGAGGTGGGCTGATGGTGCCACTATGGCATTAATACGATTGAGTGCTCTTCAATGATGTCGTTGGCTGCAGCAACGTCATA